TAATGGGGAATAATGAAGGTCAAACGATGCAATAATTGTATAGGTAATTGAACTATCCACATTGGCAATCAAAACTTTCAGTCACTAAACATAGGCAGCAAGCCAGTCAAAAAATACACGATATACACGTAAAGAAAGTATATATACAAAATGCAGTACATTAACAAGGAGTTCATCGGCTAAAATAGTATCTCCACTATCGTACACACTAATATTTGCCATTGTATTGTACCGTACCCGAACTAGTGTGTGGAAATGAACAACTGAATTCTTCTAATAATGCCAAGTTCTGCATTAGCTAGACCCTTTGGAAGTTAGAAAGTTCAACGAGTCTCCCAATCCTTCAGTTTCTTGCTTTTTGCTATGGGTGCACTATTCCAGTCATTTTTGCGTTGTACTTGGCCCGAAGAGCATCACTGCAGGTCCATCTGCAAGGCCAGAAATCAGTAATTAGCAAATCATTGATATGAAGTTGATCCTAATCGATATCTAAATGTGATGATAACGGCCCAATCACAACGGTCTCTCAGCTATAAGGGCCTCACTTAAACTGATAAAGGTACTCAAATAAGTAAAATTTTGGAGTAATTCAGACTGCGATAGCAACAGTCAATCACAAGAGTCTTCCAGCAACAACAGTCCGGCTTAGCCTATGTTTGGATCATGTTTAAAAAAACTCAAGATAATTTTTTATCTACATATTTTGAGCGACCCTCAAGTGCTATCCACTTATCCACCTTTATTTAATCTTTTAAAATTTAAACCGTTCATAACATGTTTGATACACAGGAAAGATACTAAAACCTTGTTCATTATACCATCCGTACCAAAGATACAAAGAAAAACAAACACGAGTTCAATATCTCTAGTAGAGTCAATCGGCAGTCTTGATGTAACACAATTTCAATCATTATAGGTGAAGCCAACAATCGACAACTCTACAATAACCAACCAGTTGTGCTACATGTACATAATGATTTATATACACATGATATGATAAGATATAATTGAGTCAAAATTTGTTCAACCAAATAAAAAATTCACCTCTCTATTTGTATGTTAACCATTATTCATCACCAAATGCTTAGGACGTTCAAAATGGCCAATTCAAGTCCCAACTGCCACGAACAAACCAAATGCCCGCTTTGCAAATGTCCAATTAATTAAATGTGGTCATTGAACAAGACATAACATTTGCAGTTTTTATTTCAGAATAAAAAAATTAAAGTGTAGATTTACAGAGTTGCCCTCTCGCTCTTCATAACTAAACACCCAAAACAATTACAACATAATTAACATAAAAAAATTCAGATGATCTATTTTACGAAAATTGTGGTAATGAAAACGTTATATGACAATGCAAAAAATTAATCTTAAAGCATCTCTTTCATATTCGTTTCATATGCTTTACGTTCCTTTGCTTGAAATCTTTTCCTTGTTGCCTTCATTTCCTTTATGGACAAATTTACTTCATTCTTTTCTAAATTAGCATAAACGGAAGACAATGTTGAAAAAACTATTGGTATTACTTGCTCAGAAAAGTAGAATTTCATTATGTTATACATTAGAATTGCTCTTATTTAATAAATTTCTGAAGCATTCCATTTGTTGATTTCAAAAACAGGTTGTTTACAGAGCATACAAAACAATCAACTGATATCCAAATGTCTATTTATAGCATCTACCACTGTGAGCATACCGTATTTCAACCATGTACTTAACAAGATTCCTGAACCAAATGGGAATTTTAAGTAAGAAGCACTAACGGGTAATTCCCATCAGTTGTGTCTTCATGGTCAAGATTAGTCCATTTTACTCTTCCACTACGACCAAAGTGCCTAACCTGC